ACAACAACAGTAGCAATGAAGAAGCTAAGAATCTTTTTTGAACGAAGACAGGTTTTTTGGAGGCCTCATAAGTATAGCAATCATCATTTGTTCATCAACTTGGAGCTTCAAGGCACGCCGACAACTGGCTTACCCTCAGAAACTACATGATAGAAGTAGCAGCCATGCCCAGTACCTCACAAGCAAATGAACATCAGATCATATCATTGAGCAATGGATATGGAATTTTCATCACAGGCTCAAGAAGGGGAAAAATAGCAAATGGAAAACGCTGAGAACATTAGATCATAACCAATCTCCCTCTAGAATCACAAGGTTCACCGTGGTAGGGGAGCTGGAGCACGTCACCCTAAGAGGCTGTTTTTTCATAGGCATAAATAAGGAGAAAAAGGATCAAAGGACATTTTGGCAAACACTAAGGACTGCAAATCAGTCATTTGAACATGTAGAGGAAAAGATGAACTGTAATGGCACAACAAAACTGAATGCGCAAATATTGGAGCGCCTAAATAGAGCACCGAGCTGAGGTACTCGACAGGAATCTAACACCGTCAACATTGCAAATTTTTCCAAAAAGAGGCATGAGCAAGAGGCATACCAGTCGAACACTTGAGCACATCGAGTTACTATGAAACTATTAATATCAACAATTCGTTTCTGCTCGTAGCATTTTCATATGTAATGAAGTAACACCGTGGCTACCTTCATAATTTGGTATCAGCCAACCATTAGAGAAATAGTTGTCTTAGCTTTAGTCTCATCATATACCTGAGTACATAAACCATAAGAGCAAGAATGTGGTAAGAGGAAGATGAACAAACACTACATAACACACATCAATATATCTAAGCTCGTTCTTAGCTCTTTACTGGCAGCCTTAACTGCATCTGTCTCTGCGGTGGAAAAACCACGTAAATGTAAGGTTTGGATTCTAGAAGGAAACCGGTAACAAATAAGCGACGGTATGTAGTGTATGGGAAGAGTACTTGCCTCCTCTATGTGTACAGAAGCAACATGTTCTAAATCTTGTTTAGCAACTAAATAGAACATGTTTTTTTTGCGGCGAAGAAAAATCGCCTTCTATAGATCATGTGGGAAAAACAAAATTACACTGCAGTAATACTAATGGGCCCGACAGGAACCAAAAGAAAAGTAAACTATCACGTAATGGAGAACTAACAGGCAAGTTCTAAAAAAAAATAGAACCATGGCTATGTTAGCATTGACGCAATATCAACATTCAGTAATTTTGAACAGCTAAAAGTCTAGGGACGACAAAATTGGCATGACATAACCTTAGGAATTATTTTAGGTTGTAAAATAGACACCAAATAAACCATGTTCGGCCAAAAAATGAGACACTACAAATAAGTATAAACACGTATGAAATCAAATAAACCATGTTGATCCTAAAATAGGACACTGCAAATAAGGAGACGAGACGACCTGACTATGTTAGCATTGACGCAATATCAACATTCAGTAATTTTGAACAGCTAAAAGTCTAGGGACAACAAAATTGGCATGACATAACCTTAGGAATTATTTTAGGCTGTAAAATAGACACCAAATAAACCATGTTCGGCCAAAAAATGAGACACTACAAATAAGTATAAGCACGTATGAAATCAAATAAACCATGTTGAGCCTAAAATAGGACACTACAAATAAGGAGACGAGACGACCTGCAAGCATGAAAGCCCTAGTTTGATTTTGGATAATTGATGAAACATATTTGGATTAATTCTTTCATCTAAGTGTGTGACTAGATAGGATATTCCAATCCATGTGGTGGAGCAAGATGAAGTCCATAGTGATATTGGTGGACATGTGATGATGATGATCAAGCTCCGGAACTTAAAAAGAAGAAAGAGAAAAACAAGTCGAGGGGAGCTCTTATGGTGATCACACTGAGTGTGATCACATTTATAATAGATGGTCATACTATTAAGAGGGGAGCTCTTATCGGACAAGTCAATCATCTTGTGCCATTAGGTGTTGAAATACTTACATTGCATTTTAGGCCTAGTGCACATTCGGTGAGAAAGTGATTAACCTTTGAAAAATAATTGTGAAAATGCTAACACACTTGTATGTGATGGTGAAACATTTAGAGTGTTAGCACATTTGCAAAAGTGGTGAGAAAGGTGAAGAAACGGAGGTAAAACTTAGCTTGGGGTGCTGCCGCGGGGGCACCACCACCCCTTGTCCGGTGCACCGTCACCCCTGTGGCGGTGACCGGCTGGGAGGCCGAGAGCAATAAGTTGCCCTGGGGGCACCGCCATTACTAGGGCGGTGCCCACCTGGACTCGGCCGAGCAGTAGTAGAGCAAACGCGGGCACCAGTGCATCCGATGTGCACCGCCGTCCTGTGGGCGGTCCATCGCTCGATCACCACCACGAGGAGGGTGGTGCCACCGCCATAAAATTCAAGAGAGCGGGTGAACTAGAGTTGGGCACCGCCACGGGCACCGCCACCCCTAGGGCGGTGCACCACCACTTTTTCCTAGAGAGGTGGTATTCTCGGGCAGTGGCTGGGTGGTCACCGCCACCCTGTCCGGTGACCACGGTTAGTCAAACTAGCCGTTGGAATTCGACCGTTGAGGGGCACCGCCACCCCTAGGGCGGTGCCACCACCGCCATGTCCTGTGCCCTCGCAGAAAGCTGCTCCAAAGGGATAATGGCTCTATTTGCTTGTGGACTTATAAATAGAGCTAGTGGTCGGCCTTAGCCACTCTCTTAGCACTTCTAACAGCTGCATACACCCTTTGAGAGCTGAGCATATCACTCCACTCACTTGCACACTTGATTTCATCATCTTGAGTGAGATTGGGGAGCCCCTAGTGCATTGCTTAGTGTTCTAATATCTTGTAACACTAGTTGGGCGATTTGGGCTGGTGGAGTTCTTGTTACTCTTGGTGTTTGCCGACACCTAGATGGCCCGGTGATTGGTGGATCGTTGAGCGGAGAAAGGTGATTGTCTCTGGCTCTAATCATTATGATTGTGAGGGATTCTTGTGCCTTCCCCGACGGATCGTCAAAGGCAACTCTAGTGGATTGTGTGTGGCTTGTGTGATCCTCATCTTGTGTTGGTTGCGCGGCACCCGGTTGCGGATGAGGCATGTGATGCCTATCAGCGCGTGAATCTCTAAGTGAGTGAATCGCCACAACGGGGACTAACTTGCCGGCAAGCAAGTGAACCTCGCAGGAAAATCATTATTTCTTGATTGTCTCCTCGGTATTCATTGATATTTATTGATTGATCACTTGCCTCGCGGTATACCTCTCTACCACTCTCTTGTATTATATTGTGCCTTTACTTGTGTAGGTTAATGTAGCTCTTAATTGTAGTTCTCATGCTAGCTTGCTCACCTAGGTGTAAATTAGTGACTTAGCCTTGTTGTGATACACTAGAGATCATAGATTTTAGAATTGGATAGGTAGCTTGCAAGTGTAGTGCTAGTGTAAAATTCGTTTCGCCATCTTATTTACTAATCACTTGCCTTAGAGTTGTTATAGAATTTTTTAATAGACTATTCACCCCACTCTGGCCATTAGAACCTTTCAAGGTAGCATGTCATGTCGTTCATCCGTAGACATTTTCTTTTTGTGGAAAAGGTCTGTTGTCCTGCTTGAGTTCATCGCTGCATTTGTGAAGTTCCTGGGCATCGTCCACTACTGGGATATGAGAGAAGAAAAGCTCTAGATCAAACAACAGATGGAGATCGAGAAGGAGATGGAGGAGGACGAACCACAGTCTGCGAACAGCAGGACGAGCACTATGGTTGATGGAGGAGATGAGGATGACCTGCAGGCAGGGCGTCTGCCCTGTGCTAGGAGCCGGCTAGCAAGGCCCACCCGCACCAGGGCAACCCACGATGCGCGCCCACGTCGAGAGAGAGAGATGCTCGGGGGAGAGGATAACGGCCACCGGCACCGCGGATGCGCCCACGACCAGAGGCCGGCCGCGCCAGTGCGCCGCGCCCGCGGGGGTCTGGTCGGTGCCACGCGACATGGGGATAGGGAGAGGGAGGCCGCATCACCGCGCCACCTGTGCTGGGGCTGGGTCCATGCTTGAGGGAGAGGAAGAGAGTGAGGAAGAGATGAAGACTGGCACCTAGGGTTTCCTCGGAGCAGACGCGGCATGGTCGTCGGGAGAGAGAAAGGGAGAGCACGCGAGGGTGGGGGAGGGAGCGACGGGCGCCAAAGACGCCAGGCCAAGGCTGCACAAGACCATGCCGCCCAGCCACTGCCCAAGATCGGGAGGGAAGGGTAGAGAGAGAGAGAGGAAGGGGAGGGAGAAACGGAGATGAGAGGCAGGGGAGGGAGGGAGTGAGGAGGAGGAGGAGGAGCACGGCCGCCGTTGCGCACCACTCGTGGCCGGCGCCGTCGCCCCTGCCCGCGTCGAGAGAAAGAGCGTGAGAGACCGAAGAGAGAGAGAGAGAGGAAGGGGTAAGAAGCAGGAAGGAGAAGTGGAAGCTGCTGTATATATTGATTCTCTAGATTGTAAGGAGAAGCGGGAGAAGCAGAGGAGAAGCGAGGGAAGCTAACCAGAAGCAGGAGAAGTGGCTGCAGGCGAGAATCCGTTCCAAACGATCTGGGCCGTCAACACGAGATCGGATGGTCCGAGGGGAATTTTGAGTGACGTGGATCCAGTTTCTCCTGTATGAATTGGGCGGGTTCTGTTGGGGAGAGAAGAACGCGACGCAGCCAGCCAGTCCCCCAACCCAAACCACCGCACTCAATGCGGCGCAGTCGCCGTGCCGTGCCGTGCCGTGCCGCGTGAAACCAAGCCATCTATTCCAACGAACCCCGTCCGGGCGGGGGTGGACTGCCCCCGTTGTTGCGATTGCGAGGAGTTCCCGTTCCCGAGCCGCCACCGCATCCTCGCCGAGTCCAACAGAGAGGAGCTGCTGCACTTACAATCCATTCCATTCCATCCTCCTCGGTCTCCCGGCTCCTCTCTCCCTCCATCTCTAATCTTCTCGTCCGTCGTCTCCCATGGAGCGGCTCATCTCCACGCCCACCTCCTCCCCGTCCCCATCCCCTTCCCAGACCCGGATCCGGGGACCCCTTTTCCTCCCCTCCCGGCGCCTCCCCGCCGCCGCGGCATGGCCCCAGCTGCGCTGCCAGCCCACGCGGCCCGGCGCGATCGCGCTGGCGTCGCCGCTGCGCCACGAGGCTCTCTCCGCCGCACCGGAGGAGGCGCGGAGCGACCCGCCGCCGCCGACGCCGCCGGTTGCCGTCGGCAGTCCGTGGAAGCTGCTCGGGAGTCTGCTCCCAAAGGTGTTAGGATTTTTTCCCTTTGTCTCTACCTCTAAGATTGCAATATTTAGGTTTATAAACTATATATAGGATACTGCCAAGATACGATAGTGCTGGTCTGCTGGAGGTTGGCGTGATTGAGTGTGCTGTGTAAGCAATTCATGTCTGGCATGCTACTTTTCGGGTTCAGGGACAGGGAGCGTCTGAATAGGAATACGAAAATATTCTAGCATACTTTAGGGGCTCGTAATGAGAGTGGTTTGCTTGGTGCAAGACCAAATCTTACCATAATAATGTAATTCGGCTGCTGTAACTGCTAATGTAAGGAGATAGCTTAATTTTATTAGATAAGATGATGGAATGACATGCAAGACCTGTTCTTCATTCACACGCCTTGTACTCTACTGCTCTATGCTCATCACTCATCAGATGCAAGCAACGCTAAATGCACACGATATTATTGAAATAAATTGTAACTTCACATTGTTCTAGGAATACATCTGAAGTTAGACACCAATTAGACCTAAGCTTTGAATTGACAGTAGTGCTGTGCTTCAATGCAGTACTGTTTCATTTGGAAATTATAACACTTTATGGAACTGGCACCTCTGAGTTTGTTCTGATAAGTCTGGACAAAGTTTGTTGTATGGTTTGCTGATAAATCAAGACCAGATACCTTGCAAGGACTCCCAAGTGCTTGTGGTCATAGGGGTATTGGTCCTGTAATTCAGTGAGTTCAAATTCAAATGTGGTGTGAAACCGTGCAGTTTTTAGTTGAGATGGTGTATTTTGGTGTTGAATGTTTATGTCATTGCATCTTGATAAGGTGCTGAGCTTGCTTTCTGTGTTCTGTTGGGTGAATTGCTTTTTTTCATTATTATACTTTGTTGATATTTCCTAAGGAGCGTGCCTGAATTGTTCACATATATGTTTAATGTTCGAAACAAGCTGCATAGTCAGTGTTCTTCTCCTAAATGAATGATAAAGTGTGATAATTGAATGCCTTTGCTGTTCAATTGGTTTATCACACCATTTCCTGTTTCAAATAATAGGATGCTTTCTTTTACCCAAGGTGATTTCAATTTTAATGTGTGTAGAGACTCGATATGTCTTGATCAGCGATAATCATGTTAGCTCTCTTATTCACATGTATCATTTGCCTACTCTGGATATTGTCTTCGTGATTTAAAATCGTTTGGATGGAAATTTTTTAACTGATGATAAATTCTGGTACTGACATGTGTTTTAGTGCTTTGGTGTTGAGGACCTCTTGATAGGTGCATTGGGAACTGATTTTTCCTTTGAAAAGCTCAATGCACAGAAACATATATGCTCGTAATAACTTGTGTATGAAATTGGAGAGCAATTTGAGTATGTAAGTATAACACATCCATTTATAAAGAGTACCAAGGATAGTAACTGATGGTAGTCACAGGTTCATATTTTATAAGAACATCGCACATGATAGGTATCATTGTATGCTTTTATCAAGTTGTATACTATGAGGTTAAATCTGATTAAATTATTTCCGTCACAAGTTGGTATGTTTTGCTTGATTTGTGGTTTACTATGCTCTGCTCACGCTATAGGATCTTGTCATCTACCAGCTAATGCCATTGGTCATTAGTTTTGAAATTTCTTGCTGATCTTTCTTTCCATCCTGTTCTGATGTGTTAAATTTTCTGTATTACAGGCTTCCACTGCTGCCCTTTTCCTATTGTTGACACTTGTTACTAGCTCCCTGCACTCTAGCCTCACTGCCTATGCATCGATGCAACCAGCTGCCAAAACTGGTGGAAGAGTCCTCACGACGGAGATACTAAGCAGTGGCTGGGCTGGTTTTTTAGCTGGGTGCTTACATACCTTGTCTGGGCCAGACCATCTAGTTGCCTTGGCACCGCTGTCAATTGGGAGATCCAGACTTGAAAGTGGACTGGTTGGTGCCCTTTGGGGCTGTGGTCATGATGCAGGGCAGGTCATTTTTGGCCTGCTCTTCTTGTTACTCAAGGATCGATTGCACATTGAGGTTTTCCGTGCATGGGGAACAAGAGTTGTAGGCCTGACCCTTCTGATCATAGGAGCCATGGGTGTTCGGGAAGCTTCAGAGGCTCAAGAGTCCTCACTAGTGTTGGAGGGCGTCGATGCCAGCATGAGCAGCAATGAGTCTTTGCAGTCCCCTTCAACTCCCCGGAAGAAGAAAGTCAGTTTTGCGACATTCGTCACCGGAGTCGTCCATGGTCTCCAACCGGATGCGCTGCTGATGGTCCTGCCGGCATTGGCTCTTCCGTCGCGCTTTGCTGGCGCAGCCTTCCTCGGCATGTTCCTGGTCGGCACCGTGTTTTCGATGGGGAGTTACACTGCTTTTGTAGGTTCTTGTAGCGAGGCCCTGAAAGAGAAGGTTCCCAGGATAACAGAGAAACTGACCTGGGCTGCTTCGCTTGTAGCTATAGGCATGGGTCTAGCTCTTCTGGTTGGGCAGTTCTTTGGGTTCAGCCTGTACTGATGATGTTAGCTACTACGTGTGTTTACTCGGCGGTATTGTTTTTCCGTAAGAGCATTGTTGGCAATTAGTTTGATAATAGATGGTTATTGTTTGTGAGACTACATGTATACTGCTACAACATGACCTGGCACCGGCTCATTTCACACTGATTTTCTGCTCTGTATCATCTGCTTTTTTTCCCCTGTAGAAGAGTATCACTGTGCGGTGTTACTGCATATGAGGAGCTGACGGACTGCTGTGTGTTTGGTTTGAGAAATGAGGTGATTCATCTTCTCATTTTTCACTTTCATGGAATGGAATGAGTTTCTTCTTACTTCTCATTTTTTTATTTGGTTCTTGGTCTGTGGAATGGAATGAGTTGATCTATCACCATCTTATTTCTCACAGACTAATAATTAGTATATGCATGAGGAATGAGTTGATTCCATTAAAATTCATAGAATGAACTTATGAAGCATGGGATGACATCACAAACCAAACACATCATAACTGTTTGGTAATCCCTACAGTTCTGTAGCATCTGCTTCAGCCGCAGATGCAGTCGTAGCTAGCAATCCTAGTAAAAAAAGTACAGAAGATTCGCGAGATGCGGAGAAAACATACACACGCGCCCTTGGGTCGCCGGCAAAAGCAACTGACCAGGGCCCCAATTCATTATCTTTTACTAATCACGTCGCGTGTGGTTTAGAAGAGTTTAGAGGGAAGGATCCAGATGCCACTCTAAAAAGGATGAGGGCCCTGCAGCCAATCCTGGGCTACTCCTTTTTCTCACAAGATTTTCTCCTGCAGCCACTGGATTGTCGAAAGCAGTCGAGCAGGAAAGGGGAGGCTTCTTGCCTGTTTGGTTTCAAACTGATACGACTATACTAAGAGTAGCACAAAGATTGACGCTCCATTTATAATACAAGAACTTTATAGAAATTATACAGAAATTCCACTGAAATCAGTTCAGTTTTATAAAAAAAAATACAGAAACGCGGAAGATTTCTCGTGTTCCAAGCGGGCTGAAAGGACGTGAAAAAAAAGAGAGGGAGTGACGGTAGAAGCTGGCGGCGCTGAAATAAACAGCAGCTGCAATCAGGATCAGAATGATTCAGACTTCGACTGTTCTGTTGGACATGACAGCATGTATAAACCATGAACGCGCTCAAGATGCTGGCGGCCTCCGAAGCGCGGGAAGCATCTCAAGCTATCCGACGAGCCATGTCCGTCGCTGTATAAGTACCGGGGTAAAGGCGCAACGACCACATCAGACATTATTCAGACAGCAGCAGGTACCCCGTCTCGGAAAGCCAAGCCAAACCACCGCGACCTCGAGACCTCTTCGTCGGCCAGCCAAATACATCGGATCCAGCAGCACGGTCGATCGGAACGGAATGCTTCGCGTCGACGACCTCATCGCCGAGCTCTGCCTTCTGCCGGCCAAAGTCCTCGGCAAGAAGAAGCGCAAGGAATTCCAGACGGTGGAGCTGTTGGTGCGGATGGACTGCGAGGGATGCGAGCGCAGGGTCAAGAAGGCATTGGAGGACATGAAAGGTGCGTGCCCTGCCGTGCCGTGCGTTCTCCGTCCGGCCGCCGATCGAGCAACTAACTAACAGCCGAGTGTCTCCGCGGTGCACCACCGTGAGTGCAGGCGTGAGCAGCGTGGAGGTGGACCCGAAGCAGAACAAGGTATCCGTGTCCGGGTACGTGGAGGCGTCGGAGGTGATGGAGCGGCTGCGGCGGCGGGCCGGGAAGGAGGCGCAGCCGTGGCCCTACGTGCCGTACGAGGTGGTGCCGCACCCCTACGCCCCGGGCGCCTACGACAAGAAGGCGCCGCCCGGGTACGTCCGCAACGTGCTCGACGACCCCGACGCCGCGCCGCTCGTTAGGGCCAGCTCCATGGAGGAGAGGTACACCACCGCCTTCAGCGACGACAACCCGAACTCCTGCGCCGTCATGTGAATGTGTTGCCGCCTCTCGTCTCATAAGCACTGTAGCACAGGAGAGGTACACACAACAGAGTAACACACCGTAAGCCTGTTCGGGTGGGTTTATACGATCGTGGATTATAAGCTGGAACAATATTTTTCTCTCATGATCGTATAATCGATCGTGGATTATAAAACAGGCGTGCTGCGTGCTCGTGGAGTCTGGAGTGTTCCCTAGCTTCCTCTCTGTTCCTCTGATAGCTGTAGTACAGTTTTGTGCAAATGTAAATTACTACTCCTCTCCAAAATTGTAAAGTCATTCCAGAATCTTGGAAGTCAAAATTTTCCAAATTTGACCAAATTTATATAACAAAATAATAATATTTATCATACCAAGTAAGTATCGTTAGATTCTTCATTAGGAGTGTATTTTCATATTATACCTATTTGATGTCATCTCTTTGTTTTTCTCTATAATTTTAGCTGTAGTAAAAAGTTTGAGTTTTGTGACAAATTTAGGAATTACTACTAAAGTTGAATGTTGAGATGAAACCTTGGCTTTGGTTTTGTTGTTTGGAACTAGACTCTCATTGCTCATGGCTACATCATTCTTTGTTGCTAGTTTGCTACTGACAGAAAAAGGGATTAAGGGTTCTCCCACTTAACCCCTTCACTGACGAAACCATATAGCAGTTTTGGAGGCAGTTTCACTGTCATGGGCTCATAGCTCGTTACAAAGTTGCGCTTACTCCTATTATTCCCACATAAAACCATGTTCTTTCTTTACTCTTCCTGGATCAGTCATTTTCATTAACTTCTACTTCCTACTGACAACCATCGCATGCTTCTTTACCAAACTGCTAAATATATGCGTGCAAACGGACCCGATAGACAACTTAAACATGCAATGGTTTGCACTGGCTTTATAAAACCCCGATCACAAATGCCACGGTGCACAGCTAGCAATTTCATTTCAACTAGTATAGCAAAAGCTACCATAAATTTCCAATGCAATCTGCACAACTGGATGATTTCTGATAGCAACCGTAAAACACACGACGAAAAACCACTAAAAACATGAGGTTTCATCACAACTCCCACGGGCAAGCTGCTTACTACTGCTATGATTTAACAAAAGATATAACCTCCAAAACCAGAAATGCAGGTTCAATCGCCATCGCACAAATCAGCATGGAGCAGCAGAACTAATAATAATGTCATGTACTTTTATATAACTTCGTCCACTCAACGGTTTCCGAATGATACCATCCATGACACTTTAATAATTCGGTTTACACAAAACAGCCATCAAACTGCTAGCATTCGAAAACAAACCTACTAGGTAATAACACAAAGGACAGGAGTACCAGCACAAAAGCTGCCTATGCCCTTTTTATTTTTATTTTTGTATTTTCATTTTTTGTTTTTTTTTCAGTTCTTTGTGTATGCCTATCTCTATTTTTTTTTGGTATTATGCTTTTGCCCTTTTTTTGTTTTTTTTAACCAACCGATCTTTCACCTCACACGAGATAAGGTGTGCAGGCCGTTACTGTGAAAACTCGGCCTGCCATTATACTTCATATTTCTTGAACATATAGCCTCAAAAGGTATCGCTCCTGAGTAAATTTCTTGCAGACTTCGGCCCAAAAAGAGGTCCACTCCCGTTGCTCTGTAGCCCACCAAAGGTTGATGCATGATAACCTAGACTAACTGAAGTTGCTGATCTTGTCAGGAGAGCTTCACCATGCATTCCTGGCATGTTAGTATGGTATGTTGCCCCCTCAAGTCCAACAGAACGAAACTGAGATGACAGAGAATCAATGTTGGATGTCACAGGGGACAACGAACCAGAAGAACTCCCAGCAGAATACTTTTGTTTTGGAAGCAACCAATTCTCCCATGCTCCACGCCTTCGTAGTTTGTCACCCTGTTTAAGCATAAAGGAAAGAGTCCTTTAAGTGAGAAGGGACGAAGGGAATACAGTAGTTCCTAATTTTAGGCTCTGCATTAGTAATATTACAAGGCAAAAAAACAAAATACATAAGATTATCTAATATGTGTTACCAAGTGAAGCATCAGGTGAACAAAAAAAATGCACTTTGTTAAAGCTAACTATTGCCAAGTCACTACACTTTTATAAGTGGCAATAAGTTGCTAGTACCTAATGCTCTCATCTGCTAGGGGCTTCTGATCACAACTGAGGATATGACTCAATTTTCGTTATCCTATTGCTAATTGTACATGCAAATGCTAGGCTCGCTTTTTCCATTTTGGTACTCATTTTAAAAAAAAATTATAGTGAATCAACAAATGAGAATAGTAATTGATGGAAAGACTTCCACCCAGAAACCCTTTCAATCACATGAATTAATCAAGAGACTACCTTTCAAGTGTTTGGAAACAACTTATCTTTCACTGTACTGGACACTGGAATACTGGATAAACAAACATCCACTTAAGGATTGAGATTGTTGGATGCTGGTCCCATGGCCTAGTATATTGATTGAAAAATAAGTTGTTTTCAAGCATTCGGAAGATTTGCCTATAACCTAAAGAATATAAAGTCACTCAAGGAACAACAAAAACCTGTAAGATCAGTCGATCCTTATTGAATCAACTTCGTACTAAATTTTCCATGGTCAATACTAGGAAAAGAACATGCCTTCAGCAAGCAATCAAATGATATAGACTCTGTTGGTTTATAGATGTCATGTCAGATAAATGAGCTCTAGGTCTATAAAAAGAAGCTAAAGTCTATGACATGATCTAACCAGTAACTACATCTTGCTTGCTTAACAAACTACACTTGTCTGAATCAATAATAAATAACTGGTAAATCTCACGCTAACAGATATGATAATGAATGGTGTTGACCATAATTTTTCTATAATTAATATTTAATGTTACGAAATCATATATGTTTAGTGATTAACCTATATGTTTCTTGGCCAAAAGAAATTTTATTTGAAATCACATAACAATAATAGCACAAAGAAAACATTACCTGTACTTCCACAACGTTAGATAGCATGACTGTTTCCAAGATAAACTGAATATTATTAGTAATCTTCTGGACCTGTAAAAAAAGTAGGTGAGTGACACCGTCTCCTTAATAACAAATAAAAGAACAAAAGTACATAACATCTATCTGAATATTCTTGAAAAGGTTATCTGATTCGACTGTTATACTCCACAAAGAAACCATATTCAATTAATAATATCCACTTTCATATATTAATGGATTCGGTGTCTCAAAACCATTTGTATTAACAAATGCATTATAATGCCAGCTGTAAATATTGACTAAGCACGCTACAAACAACAGAAAAGACAAACAGAAACAGAAACAGAAGCATAAACCTTATGTACCCCATTATCCCAATATGTACTAAGTTTCATGGTGTTGTGTGTGTGTGTGTGTGGGTGGGTGTGTGGGGGGTGGGGGGTAAATAAGAACTCTATTCTTTAATGAAATGATACACAGCCCTCCTGCGCATTCAAGAAAAAAAAAATCCAATCTGTTCTGGTTCAGAAAACAAGGAAGTTTCAATTATTCCCAGAGAGTAAAAATACCTGACAATTTCCTACTAGGGGCATTATGGTGAACAAGAATAAGAAAGAAATGGGCATCCCAGAAGCATATGATCAAAAGTTCAAAACCCTAAAGACAAACCCTCAACTGCAAGCAGTCACCCCCTTATTTACCAGTTTACTGCCAGGCTTTGTGGCGAATGAAATCATGCTGAAAAAGGAACCACATACTACCCATAAGACGAATATACAGAGTACCTGAAAAAAAAAGCAAAATGGCCTTCGAAAACTAAGGGAAATCAAACCATATTTCTTCTGCACTTATGACAGCACAGCTTACTTTGTCATGCTAACTTCTGAAGTGAGCTCAGCTAAGTTTGTTACAATATAATTATATAACTATCCTTCATTAAATATGTAGCACTAGCCTACTCAATGAGTTTTCCATAACTATCACAAGTATTATATTAGTTATAGAAAGCCCAGTCAAAGCTTGGACAGGGGTACCCTAAAAGAAAATCGATTGTGCCTGTGCGCATACCCAACTAATGCAGCACATATTGTAACATTTTAAAGGAACCATGCAACTTAGAAATTGAAAAATATCGTATGACACCATCGACAATAGAATATTACTTAACAATTCAAGAGTTCACCCTTATCCACTGAAGCTAGAATGAACATGCACATGGGCAGAGAACTTGGTCCATACAAAAAATCTGTAGCAGCTCAACCTATGAAAAAGAAATAGGTTTGTGTCTTGGTGAATACACTAAAAATTGAGGTACAGCAATAGGAGGTGGACTAACTAGTTAACCTTGATCAAATGTGACAGCCTTGCCCTGAATACACTAACTCAAGTAAATGTGAGGTAACCTGCAACAGTTCCCTCAGGGATGGACTCAACTTGCAATGAACCTGTTGAAAAAAAAATAGCCCCCCCCCCCCCCAGCTACTGATCCCTGTTCCTAATCAACTGACCCACAACACTCAAACATAACTGTGACAGGAGCCCTGGTCAACAGCTCCTACACCAGATCAGAGTGCAACAAGCTTAAGCCCCATTGATGTAGTACCACTGCAAAAATACAGTGTTGAAAATTAAAATAAGGGCTATCTTGCCAGTTAAATGAACCCATGCCACCCATGCAGTCCCTCTAATTAATTGGTAGAAGTAATTACAGACACATCCTAATCTCATAGACAGCTGACTAAGAACGTCAACAACAACAACAACAAAGACATTAGCACTTGCAAACATAACTGTGAAGGAGTCACATTTCTTAAAAGCAGATACTACTAAGAGATCAGAGTTCAATCAAGACAATGTTGCTGTGCCATTGATGTTATCAACCACATCAGCTAATTCCATAATCCAGTTTCTTATTCCAATTGTGTCAACCAGCTATCTTGCTGTTCAATTAAATGAACCCATGCCACTACATGCAGTCCCTCTAATTAATTGGTAGAAGTACACTTATTACAGACACAGAACATGCCCACAAGCTCAACATTCTGCACCTGACTAAGAAACAAAATAATCGCCGTTCAGAGTATATTTTAACTGAGAAACCAACTCATAAGGCCTGCAAAATTAAAATTGGGAAAGCCAACAATCAGGCCTGCAAATGGCACCCAGCCAGCAATCAGGGATAATGGCACCCAGCCTCATCCCATGCGTTGCCATAAGTATAGGTCCTTACACAAATTGGCATCACTGCAATAGTTCACAAGTGGATCAAGAAATTGATCTGAGCATCTTCACAGTTTTTATTAAAAAAAGGATTCCCAAAATGTAGACGAGCTACTACCTGAAATAGTATTCTATCTGCTCCAGAAGACCCTTTTGGAAAGGGTCAATTAAAACAGCTTGGGGGCTTGCTGGATGAGGCACAAAAGGCAGGCCTTGAATGCCTTCCGAAGTGGGTGCCGCAAAATAGTAAACATGCGGTGCTATGTCTGCTATTTTCAACAAGCAAATTAATGTAATATAACAATGGCACATGCCCATGATCTCATAAACCACATGCACAAGAACATACCAGGGAAGCCCATAGGTGCCCCATAAGGCGGTGTCTGAGGAGTAGTGGGGATAACAAATGGCGGCGGCGGCGGAGGTGCTCCTGCTACAACAGCCAGAGTAGGAGCCCTAATGTATGTTGGCTGATGGCCACGCTGCTGATGAACTGGTCCATGCCCATCTCTGCGGCCACCTCCGCGCCGTTGTCCATCAAAACCCCCGTGGTGCTCACTCCCACGTCGCCCCCCACCTCCACCATTACCCCTCCTGTTTCCCCCACCATAGCCACCACCTCGGCCATGGGGGTGGGAGCCAAAACGTCCATTCTGATGAGGATCTGCGCCGTTGCTCCGGGCATTATAAGGCACATAAACAGGTGACGGCTCCGGTGCAGGGGCACTCTTCTCCAGCCCATCCGCCGCAGGCATCACCAGGGCTCGCCGAGCCACAGGATTGCGCACCAAAGCCTCATTTTCAGGGTTAGCATCCAGAGCGCCGGGATTGCCCAAAGAGGGCGGCGACATCACCGCCGCCTGACACCATTGCAACAACAGTAAAACCCAATCTGATCAAATGGTATTACCAAATTTCAAGGTCCTCTATATCAAACACTGGTATCAACTCACAGTAGAAGCTGAAGAAGCGGCCTTAGGGGACGCCTTGGCCGCTGCCCCCGCAGCCGGCGGCGGCGGAGAGGCCAGCCCGGGCAGCGCCGGCCAGGAGTCCGCGTCCATGATGGGGCTTTCAACCGCCACCGCGACGGGCACCGTCGCGCCAGCGGGGAGCTTCCAGACGGCGGCCGCCACCCCAGCCTTCTTCGCCACAACCGGGCTATCGGACGGGGGCGTCCCGGCCCCGGCAACGGCAACATGCGGGTCGGCGCTGCTAGCCATCGTCCGCACCCTAGTCCGATCGGGAGGTAGAGCCTCGACGGGGTAGCAGACGAAAGGCGGAGGCGACTGCGGGAACGGCGGCGGCGGAGGTGGGGGTGAAGGGGTGGGGAGTGGGAGTGGGAGTGGGCGAGGGGATCGGTCAGTGGTACGGCATCAGGCGATCGGTAACAGGGGTTCCAAATATTGCCGCGAGGCGAGGCGAGGCGAGGGCCGGCGATCGGCGATCGGATCGGGGGAGGAAGAGGGGGAACGGTGCGGCGGCGGGCGGAGCCGGAGCTGGGGCCGATGCCTGCGACGCTCGCTGCTCTTCCCTTGCCTTGCCTTCCCACGGGCGGTGGATGGACGCGGACGGGATCCCTCTCCTGCCTCTTGCCGAGTTGCCGTGGTGGGCCACAAAAGGGCAAAGCCCGCAGCAACCAGCGTGGGCCGCACCCGCAGCTCCCGTCCGCCCGATCACAGATCAGCGGCCGGAACCCGTACCGGGCCCGCGCCGCTCTAAAGCGGCTCGCGCTGGCGTCCGCTTGGCTACCCTACCCCCCGGACTGGCTGACGCGCGGGCCCCGCGCTCGGGTGCGGCGTTGGAGGTTGTTGACTTGCGGGCGCGGTGGGCTGTGTCCGATGCGGGGCGGACGGCTGGCTCGCCACGCGAGGTCCGCGTCCGGCGAAAGACGAAATTATAGCGGTGACGTTCGCAATCCCAGCGGCGATGGGCGCCTGGGACGAAATGGCAAACCGCCCGCCCACCGCACTTTTTGCAAAAGCACCCTCCACTGTTTCTGGATAACAACTTCTACCGGCCTTATCTGGTTGCCTTTCTATCACCTCTAAAGAATTGAGGTGGTGTTCATTAATCCAACGACTAAAGTTTAGCTTTAAAAATTTAGCCCCTAAAATTTAGTTCTGTTGGGCTGTTTGATCTATGAGCTAAACTTTAGTCCTATAATTTACAATGACTGATTTACCCTCATTTAATTATTTATGCATAGCCATGCATGCGAGCGGCAAGGGGCATGGAGCGTCCAGCGCCCGCCCCGAACGAGTTTAGCCCAGGTTAGGGCCTCTTTAGAGCAAAAAATTTTAGCCCAATTTTTAGCTATTTGGTCACTTTTAGCCCCCTATTTGGATCCTATAGTAAAAAAAAGATTAAAAGTATATGGCTAGAATTTGTCGTAGGACAGGAGTCGTGGACCACAGCCTGGTTCACTATTTTTTTCACGGGACCTTTCTGCTCGTCGCATTTAGTATCTTGAACCCCAAATATTCCCACCAATTCTTTTGAAAAGGAGCGTTTCTGGATAAATAAAAACAGAGAGGATCGACGTGCTACTTTGTCGTAAATGCGCCAAGAATCCGCTCAGTTTTTGGTCTCCCCATTATTACAGGTGCGGCGTTTTTCCTCAAGAAAAAACCACTAGACGATTGCACCGAATGAGAACCGTTGATTCAATCAACATTGACAGGGATAACGCGAGGGGCAAATGTGGACACGATCTGAGAAAGATCACTGAATTCGCTGTTCGTCCTCTCCGCTTGTGTACATAAGATCTCAAGTTATTTTTTTTTTCCATTTGGTATGTATCCAGATTCTCATAGAAACATTTTAGATTCAAATTCTCTTAGAAAACGTTTCAGATGGCGAATCAAAATGACTAAACCGTTTGGATGCAGAATCAGAATCACTGCGAAACCATATTTTAGGGCGAATTGCTTAGAACTATTTCTTGCAGAAACGTTTCAGCTGCAAGTAGCAGCATGTTCGCTTGGTTGTATTTGGCTTAAAAGCCATGGCTTATCAACCAACGAACAGTATTTTTTTCTCACATCAAACCGACCAACAGTACTTTTAACCATGACTTATAAGCCCAAACGAACAGGACGAAGGTGTTTGGCACTCTTCCGATTTCTTCCAAAATCGGAAACGTTTCAGTGAGCCAAACGGTGCCTCGCAAGATTCATGTCTATGTAATTTGTTTAGAGCATCTTTAACATCTAAAATATGGAGTCCTAAAATTTTGATTTTATAACCTTTATAATAAAAACTATTGGGCACAACACCCCACCAACGATTCCATTTTATTCATTCAAAAAACATACATGTCGTCATCTCCCGTGCGTACAAGGCATCCATCGTAGATGAAAATAATTCACCGGAGAGCTAGCTTAGGCCATTCTCGACACCATAGCTGACACCCAAAACTTTTAAAATGGCAGCTTCATTGCCTCATCTAACTCCAAGTATTCTCATATCTGAAATAGTGATCAAATATATAATTTCAGTGAACTTGTCAGGCGGCGACAGTGGTCGAGCCGTGGTCGGCCATCCTGGCACCATAACACACGCACAGATCCTACAACACGGAATTTTTTTCCATGATGCTAAAAAAAGATACGTATATTTCATTTTTTGAAGCCCGCATACATTGGTAGCTAGAACAACAAACCACTAAAAATACATGATTGGAAGTGGTTTACCAATACCGAACTGTTGGATATGTTTCTTAACGCATATACTCCATTCCAAATAATTACACTTCTTATTTTCAAAGAGTTAAACTTTTTTCTTAAATTTGACCTAATAATATATAAAAGAATAAAGTAATATTTATACATAATAATATTGTTAGAATAACAGTAAGATAGATTTTATAATAAATATATTAAGAGACGCAAATAACAGTAATATTTTATATAAATATAGTCAAACTACTTCTCGGCTCGGCTAGATGTACCGTCATTGTTATATATATATACACTACTCATGGTTTTTATATAATCTCCTTTCAATTTAAAAAGAAAAACTGGTACTGTACAATATTTTGATGGACGATGATATGAAGCTAGGATATACTACCTGACATGTGGGGGACCTTTTTATCCGATTGATACGTTGAGTCGTCGTCATCGTTGCAGCCGCCATCGCCAGCTGACACTGTCACGCTGTCTCGTTCAGAAAGGAAACCCGGCGGCGGGTCGGTCGGTTTCCTGTCTTTTCCGTTGCTCTCGTATAAATACGTCGGTTGAGAGCTACTCGTACACGAATTCCGTAGCACATGCACTCGCCCCGTACATACTACACATACGTGTTCTTTCGCGTAGCCGCTAGTTTCATTCGCGACACGTGTTCCCCGTCGCAATGAATACGTGGCACGCACGGCCCGGCCATTTGTCAGCTGTGACCGCCACATGGAACACGAGTGTGCTTGTGCCTCCAAAGATAAGCAAAGGAATCGTGGGTGCCAATTTCAAATCCGCATCAAATTGAATGGTTGATACGTACGGAGTACGTTACAAGAGTCCATCGATCAGTTGGCGGTTGAATTAAGTTATTATTATTATAATAAGCTACAAAAATGAAATGAGAAGAGCAGTGTTATCAAGTCTCCGATTTTTGGACGAAAAACGTGTGTGCAAGGGCAGGTGGAAGAAGGCAGCGCAGTTTATATTCCCTTACGGTCTGTTTGTTTCTCTAAATTGAATCTTCTTTTAAGAATCAAGAATCACTCTATTTTAGATCTTAATTAAAATGTTATTGTCGATAAGAACTTGATCGCAGCAGTAAATTTTTCCACAAAAAGCATTTTGTGTTCTAACTCACGAGAGACGAGTGAAGGAGATTGAGACGTGAGGGTGGCGATGAAACTTACTTTCAGTTTCTTACTAACTCTTTTCATGCCTTACCCTCTAAATTTAACACAGGTCTATACTTAAAATGTAGAAAGCGGTGAAATATCAAGTTCTAAGGCTATTGCCTAGTTCATGAAGCATATTCCAATTTAGGTCAAATGAAATGATTTAAACGTGTCATTATTAGGGAGAAAATGGGAAAATCACGTACCGACTATGCCGTATAAACTAATCGTATCCTCTATTTTTTAGGGAAAAAACAAAATAATAAAAAACAGAACCGACAGTACCTAATGGCGCCAACCATTCCGCTTTTTTGAGGGAAAACGAAAATAGAAAAAAATAAGGAAAAACTCAGCGAATTCGGGATCCAAAACGATTAAGGTCTTTTCCTGACTGTTTTCGTAGTTTCTTGTATTTAGGCAGGAACTTTTCTGCTGGCATTCCCGTTTCTAGCTCCAACTCCAGCCCACAGGTGGACGGCCTCGCGTCGCTGAGCCCCATGCGGCATGGCACCTATGAGCGCCGCTCGCTAGGCCCCACGAGGCACGCATGCCTGCGCGTGCTTGGCCAACGCCGCTACGGTCACAAGCTCCTCGCGCTCGCAGCTCCGCCACCTCGCAACGCTACAGGGCCATTGCCTCTGCGTGCTCTCCACGCGTGCGAGAAGTAGGTTAGCTCAGTCCCTTAGTTTTGTCCGGATATGACTTACTGACTTGCATCTTAGCGGAATATTTCATGTCGGATTCAACCCATCCCACCTAGACCTCTATCTGAACACTAGCAAGAGTGAGTTCGCTTTAACCCATACACACGCAATCTCTCACTCACGGCTCTTCTATATTTGAAAACAAGCCACGTCAACATACCTGTCATCCAAATCCCAACCGATCCTAATTTTGTGGCAACAATTGGATCCTGCGACTGCTTCTCCCTGGCGAGAATAAGACTCCATGGACAGCGTCTCTCCCACGAGAATAGAACTCTGCGGCCTCTAGGTTTCGACTTTAGACCGACGTTCTAGGTTTCGACTTCAAACTGCATCACAAGACGTTGATTCTGGCGGCGACGGACTACTGCCTCCGCACGAGATCAGAGTTCCTCGCCATCTATTCTGTCAAGTAAGTTTTCTAACACTAAATTAGTTTCTTATATTTCGTTAGAACAGAGATGCAAACACTGACGACCTTGAGATATACGATGTTTATGCATGGTGTTCTGGTGTTAATTCTTGCTTGAAATATTTATTTAGGTCATGTTATCTGATGAGCAGATTGAGGTTATAACATTGCATGGAAAATAATTAGCAGACATCTTATTTTTCAATCCTTGTGTAGGTGCTCGAACAAATTCCTTGGGTCTATAATGGATTTGGA